ATAAATCATGAAAAATCATATTTTTCAGTGAAAACCGTAATCAAAGAACATATACCATGTTGCCATGGTTCATAAGCTAGTAAATCAATAAATTTCGGTAAAACTCATTTCAAAATATATAAAGCAATCATGTAGTACATGGGGAACACACTAGAGGATCCAAGTATTTTTCAGAGGCACATAATAGTTATCAAGAAAACATGAAACTTATGTAATTTGATCGGATTCTAGGATCGAGGTCCTATTAAAATAGATTGATTACTAACAGATCTATCATACATTTAAAGTTGATACTCTAGAACCCCGTTATAATTTAGGTGAATTATGAAGATGCTCAGGAACTTTTATATCAGAATAATTCTAGATTCATATTTACAGAGAGTGATTTCATTACTTAAACAATCAGGGGTATTCAGGATTATGTATTGAATTATCAGGATTTTGAGTCCAATTGCACCAATGATCCCAACACTACAATATTTTTGTCAATCATTAGGACTGTGATACTTCATTATTATTCATTTCTTATTGCTGAATGCACCAGTTGATCTGCTCAATATCATAATAATCCTTGATTAGTTCTTGAGGAGACGAATAGGTATTAAAGTGGTATTTATTTCTTTTCTGTAATGCAATGAAATCAATAAATGTCGACTTGCTAGATATGGGGTTTAAAACCCTTAAGGGCGGTACAACATACAAGTTTACCAACGTTTCCAGACTTGTCTGAGTCATTCCTTAATTCTAGGCCTTTGAAGGTACTTAGGTCATTTAGTAGTTAAGTCTATTCCGATCACTTTGAAATTTCCATAGTAATTCAATCATTTCTGAAATTAAAATACATACAGTTCTTCCAATCCATTCAACTTGATCATATAAATTTAGTGATTTCAAGAAATTCAAACGTGTAAAGTACCTTCAATAATTCAGTCTCTGAGTGTTATCTTAGAAAATATAATTTCTAGGTCGTTTGGTATTTGAGGTTGACTTATTCATTTTAGAGCTAGAGGATTTAGTTATTATAGTACTTAGATGTTCCTTGGGTCATTTTACATTTTAGACGCATTCCAATATAGATCCGAAATTTAAATCGATGATTCCAAGGTTCAAGTGTAACAAGATATGAATTCTTAGGTCGTCTCCATTATCATAGCCATCAATTGATCAATTGTGCTTTTTACACTATAAGCGTATCATCATCATTTCATTCCAATCTGTCAATGACTTTACTTCTGATATATTAGGCTTCAAGTATTCTAGTTCCTTTAGAGTTCAGGGTATTTGTTCCTTTGATCGTTGGAGGTTATTATAGTTAGTATGAAGCTCGAGGACAATTCAATAATTCTTTTCAATTTAATCATATACAATTTTTTTGATTATTGATCCAGTATGTCCTTTTGGAGTTATTTTTCACCTTCCGGAGAAGTCTTGTTCTTTTACAATACAAGGGCATTTTCGTAATTTTACCCCTTAGGGCTATTTTAGATAATTTCTTATCCACATAAATCCCTACATTTAACCTTTAACTAGATTAATTATTATTTACGAGTCCTGAGATTGATTGATTCAATCATTGAACTTAGATTTGTTTCCTATCGATCTACCAATTTCTCTTTTTCGAATCATCTGAGTCTTATATAATGTTCGGTCTTTATTCCAATTTACGTATGAGCCTGATGATAGTTAAATATATTTAATGGACCAAACATTCCAATCACACATTTACTATCTATCCATGAGTTCCGAAAAGCATACAAAAGGTAGTAGAGTATTACCTCGATTTTTGTGCCATATCGATTGACCATTTAAACTTCATTTGATCACCATCAGACGTTAATTCAACGTCCAATAATTCCTCGGATACAAAGCAACCGAATTTACGTCAGAAACTGAACTTAATTGAGAAACCAATTTGAATTTAAAGATAAATATTGAAAAACGACTTACCGGGTGCGAATTTGGCAAAACGAACCTCAAAATCGAACTCATGACGTTAAAAACATAAAATAAGGCTTTTTCAGAAATTTTAATTTTTTTCGATCAAAGTCAACGATCTGACCGGTCAACAAGTTGACTTGGTCAAAGTCAACAAGTTGACTCAGTGGACTGGACCAGGCGGTTCGAGTCGGGTCGGGTCAGGTCGGGTCAACCCGGTTATGGAAAATTCCTTGGACCAAACAAGCCCCACGTGCGGGTGGCGGCGCGTGACGTCAATGGCGGGCTCGGAGCAGTCGCCTGATTCTTTCCTGATCATCCACTTGCCGAAAATAACACAAAAATCAATCCAAAACTAGCTAAACCATAGAGAAAAATTAAACGAAATTGACAAGAAACTTACCCAAGTTGTTGCTAGCGGAGGCAACGACGAGGGATGATAAACTCGACTAGGCTTTGTTCCCCTGTCGACGACGTTCTAGCTGGGGGTGGCGGTGTCGAACACCACCTACTTATCGACAACAAAACTCAAAAATAATTTTTCGACAGTATGCCCCTCCGACGAGCCTTCAAAACGAACCTCCACAACAATTGGCAAGGAAAATCGATGAACAACTAGACTGATATTGATCCAGAGGTTGTGACGGTGCTGATGGTGTCGATGGTGCATGACACGGTGCTCGGATGAGTCAGATCAGCGGTAGGCGACGGAGATGTAAAATAAATCGGTTTATAACATTTTGGGTTTTGTTTCTAATTGGAGAAGATGATGGGGGTATTTTTTATTGCCTAATAAAAATGGGATAATTCGGGTTCAAATTCTTGAATTTCTCATAAGTTTCAAAAAAGAGCTACAACTTTTAAAAAATTACAATTTAGTCCCCCAAACTGTGACAGATTCCTTCCACTGTGGAATACTAAATGCCTCCTCAATAGTAGTCGGCTTCGTAGTATACCCAAGACGTTGAGTAAAGAAAACCTTAGGCTTCCTTATCCCATTTTTACTCCTGGTTATAATGGGATGACCATGAACAACACTTCAATCCACAATAGGAACAACACTGGAATACTCAAAACAACCTCAGTCCTAGACTGTTCTTCAGGCTCAATAACTCGAGGACAACCCAATAGGGTCCCATCAACTGTAACCATATCAAGGACACCCTCAGGACCAGCACTGACAGATGGCACAACATTATCAGAAAGTCTATCCTGACCACAATCATGAGAAAATGTAGTATCCACAAACTGATCCACTCTCTGCTTCAAGGTACCAACCGTCAAGTCCTCTGAAGTGTCTGGTAAATCCATGGGAAAACTATCAACATGTTCCACAGGCAAGACATCCTGCCCAACTGTAGCCGAACCATCCACGGGAGACACTATTCCTAAAGGAACAACTTCAGGAGTTTCTTCTCCAGCAGCCTGAACAGTTCAAAAATTTCTTGCACTAGGGAAAATAGATTTGTCAAAAATCACATGCCTAGAAATAAAAATACGTCCACTGTCATCTTGACATTTATACATCTTATGATCACTTCGAGTTAATTGTTGTTAACCGCAGTTAAATATTTTAATATAATCACATGTTTAGTGTATGTTATTTACATATTCTCTTAATTTAATAACTTGTTTTATATTTCACACATTTTTCTAACACAACAATAAACAAATAACATACTGTACGAAATTCAATAGCCTCTGGTTTTACGATTAGAAACGTAACACAAGTAAACATGTCATGTGACCTCATTGATTAAATTAAGTGTCGTTCTTCTTTGAAGACTTCATCAAGAATTTGATTATCCGTCTCTGTAATACATGACAGTTCAAGCACTAAATAAACTTAATTCTCAAGTGGCTCACCTCTCTACTTTTCATTTAAAGAAGAACGCCCATAAAATCACTTCAAATATTGTTCATGGTGAAGATAATTTTGTTGTTGTTATTTCATCAAGTTGCACATTTAATATATTTTTGTTTACGATGTTAATGCTTGCAAATGTTGCGAGTATTACTATTGTTCATTAGTAATGGTGTTTGTAAAAATATAACAACGCTGAAATAAATAGTGAAACCCACAAAAACACCCAACCTCAGTAAAAATATGAATTTCAGAGTAAGATACTAGTTGATGTTACTTTATGTAATTGACATGTGAAATGATGGTGGGTGTATCAACCAGAGACGATGTCATAGTCAACACAAACCTTAGATGTGATTTTGTAATGTTACATGCTCTATGTTGGTATTATACGTTTTATAAAATGAAACCTAAATTAAATAGTAAGTATATATTTTTTTAAAAAAAATAAGTATCAAAACAGAATAAAAATAATAATGTAGAATCTAAACGTATAGTAAACCCCTCCTAACTGAGCCCACGAGAGGAAAAGAGTGTCCAACTACATAAATCAAATAAACTGTATATCGTTTGTCACATCTGAAGAGATAATCTCGGGACAAACCGAATTAAAAAATAATGAAGACAAGAATATAGATGTCCATTTGACCAAAGTATCTGCTACATAATTACAAGATTGTTGAATAAGTGAAACGTTAAAACTAAGACAAGCTTGGAATCGTTCCTTCCCTGGTCGAAGATGACAAGCTAAGATAAAAAATTATTCATCGTCAAGAAGTAACTTGTTTACCAAAAGAGCACAATCGAATTCAAAAAAGTACATTGTCCCGTTCGTCATGGTTTAGCGGGGTTGTTTATACTTTCCCATGTTGGAAAGGTTCTTTATGTTACTTGGTCCAATCAATGATCGGATCAGATCATACTCCTGAACAGGGAATAAAACTCTCCCAGAACTGTTATTTTCATAAAGATCTGCACATTTTCGTTCAGAAAACGGAATAACATCACTGAAACAATTACATGTTAAAATTTCCAAGTACCAGTTTGCTTTGCAGCAGTCAACAAGTGCAACTCATGCAACAAATAAAAGCCACATGCTTTGGCAAAATGCATTGCCAAACTTCTAAAGTTTCCCTTAACTGTACAACATTGTTAAATCACATCCAATTAAATCAGTTAGGTTCTCGAATCCGGACCTTTCGCTGCCACGAGTTCAACCGTCATGATGAATGTTGACCTGCCAGCTTCCCTTAAATACTGGATATCTCCATTCATGAGTTTTACCAACTTTCGGCTGATTAGCAAACTAATACCATCCTCCGATGCATCTTCATCGCTTCCGAACATTTGGTTCAGCAATGCTTCAGGTACTCCACTACCTGCGTGCGTTATCCTGAACCAAAATACATACCAAACGCCTTTTACTTTCGGCTTGACTTCATATACAGGTGAAGTTCATTTGTTCATAAAACTAAGGAATATACATACCAGTTTCGTATGCATACTACGGATCGATTAATCTAATTATCGTGCAGGAGCGTTATCAGAGTATGAAACTATGCATGCATATTAAAGAAAACAAATCAGTACCTGAGCTCCAAATGTGCAAGGTGAACAGATTGTCCTAGTTGATCTTTGGTCAGGTTAGCTACAAGAAGAAGCTGGCTTCCTTGTGGTGTAAAATTAACCGATGACAACAAGAAGTCGGCTACGACCTGTTGAAGTCTGACACTATCTCCATATAAGGTCTCGGACATGATGTCTTCCGCTGTATCATTGACTATTATTCGGATGCATTTCCCGTCACACTTTACCATCACTTGACTGATGGAAGCAATCAATAGTCAATACCTCATGTTGGGTGAATTCCATCATTTCGAGATCCACGCAACTGTTAAAAATGAACAAGCTTGAAAACCAGTTTTCAAAATCTTCACAATCTGATTCATTGTTGGCCTAATATATAGTATAGAATGAGGGCAAAGAACAGCAACTAAAACATATTGTTCCATCACTTCCGGCAATCCTATCTCCGGCATGTCTTGTTCGACGACATCTAATGCCCTCCCTTTTTCCACAAGCTCCCAAGCCGAATCCGTCAGCCGGAAAATCTTTCCCTATTCATTTTCATATGCCTTTTTACCGCTCAAGATCTCGAGAAGCACGGCCCCGAAGCTTGAAATGTCGCTTTTCTCTGTTAACTTGCCGTACAAGGCGTATTCCGGAGCAACATAGCCTAGAGTTCCGGCTACCGTTGTGCTTAAATGCGTCATTCCCTCGGACTTGGTCTTTGCCAAGCCGAAATCGGCGACTTTCGGCTCGAATGTCTCGTCCAGAAGTATATTACTAGCTTTGATATCTCTGTGTATGATCGCAGGGTGAACCCCATGGTGCAAATAAGCTAAGCCTCTTGCGGTACCGAGGGCAATCTTGAGACGAATAGGCCAACTAAGTTTCTTCTTCCCCGATCCGAAAAGATGATCGTAGAGGCTTCCATTACGCATCAAATCGCAAAAGATTAGCCTTTGATGCCCTTACAGCGGCACCGTTGCAGTGCAAAAGCCTCTTAATGCAACAAGATTGACATGTCTTACACTTGCGCAATGACTTCTACTTCATGTACAAAGTTTGCATCTCCGACGACCGAACAACTCTTCAACCTTTTTATCGCGACTTCGGATCCGTCCAGTAGTATCCCTATATAAACATTCCCATATCTTCCCATTCCAATAATGTTCTCTCCGGAATTTTTTTTTGTAGCATTCTGTATCTCCTTAATTTTGAACCTTTTGAGACTAGTACTTCTGCTACACAGTCTGAACCCGAAAATCAATCTAGTCTCATCCGTATCCGAATCATTCTTCGCCTCTACATTTTTCCTACATCTTCTCATCATAAGGAACAGAATAGCAGAAAATGCCCCAAGTATACCAACTACAGAACTAACCGTCGCCCCTGCAAATACACTTCGGTAGTGACTACGGCTCGGCCTCAATCTCTCTTGTTTAGATGCTGTGGAAAACAAACACTGAGCGGTTGCTCTATCAGCAGGACCAAAATGGTTAACAAATGCAGCCGTATACATATTAGGATACCCCGAACAAGCCGAGATATTCTGTGCAGCATCGTCATCGATGCCATCGAGGAAAACTTCCTTAACTATGAGCAACTTTCTAGTACACAGTCCACATGTAAAACTATCATCCAGAGACTGAGTTCAGCAATATCTCAATTGGTACAATATGGCACTAGGAATTAGGCTCTCAAACTGTGCTCTAGATGTTACATTCATGCAGGCTTCGGAAATCCATTCCACGTTATATCCGCAAGAAGTTTCGATATCGAAATCGGTTACAAACTCACCTGGTAGAAGCCGGTATGACTCTCGGCATGCCACGGAAGTTTAGGGAGGGGGAGCAAAGTACTCACTCGTCTGGAGATACTCGGACCGGACCAAATCAACTCCTTCCATGATGTTTCGACATTGTGTGAACCCTGCAGGGTCTCTATACACAAATCTTTTGGGGATGTCAAAGTTCAGTGGACAGGAGGCATTCACAAGGGTTTCATTTGAGAACTTTAGGCAATATGAGGGTGACATATTGATCTCAAAAGAGGTTAATATTGATACTAATGCAAACAAAGTAAACTGAGATGAGGACATTGAAGAGAAATGGAAGGAGATTTCAATCTTTCCACTTAAATTGATCAGAACAATAACTTCATCATCAAGCCTTTATTGGATACTTTGGCCGGTTTTGGCTGCTTGTAAAGGGCGGCAATGGATAACTTGGAATCAGTCTAACTGTACATGTGAGTTTTAGGTAGAGGTTGAAATAAAGAAATCCCAACAATCTGACAAAATATAGCTTAAAGGTAACTTGTATGTTATTTTCAAATTTCAATAATGAAATGATTAGTTCTACTTATGATCTTAATCTGCAAACTAAAGGGGTTCCCCTTCTCCTTCTTGACCATGAATTTTGATTACAATGACTGTTGAATGGCTAAGTTTGACCTTAATTCTACACCGTGCCAGTACTGTTCTTGTTCTTAAGGAACTCGGGTTTTATTCTGATTCGCCGATGGTAATAATACTGTGTCATTTGTCACACAAAAGATGAACTAATATGATTGGTTTAACAGATTGGATATTCATCACCTGCTCAGACTGGAATCATAATTGATTTGAGCCTCTCTGTGGCTGAGGTAAAGTGTTTGTACAATATTTTTTGTCTTAGAATTTTATTTCAAATGCCTTTATGCCAAATTTGTTACTGAGCTGCAGGGTAATGTTAGGGGAATGACTCAGACAAGTTTGGAAACGTTGGTAAACTTGTATGTTGTACCACCCTCAAGGGTTTTAAACCCCAAATCAAGCAAGTCGACATTTATTGATATCGTTGTATTACAGAAAAGAAATAAATACCACTGTAATACCTACTCGTTTCCTCAAGAACTGATCAAAGATGATTCTGATATTGAGCAGATCAACTGGTGAATTCAGTAATAAGAAGTGAATAATAATGAAGTATCACAGTCCCAATGATTGACAAATATTGCAGTGTTGGGATCATTTCCAGACACAAGGCCCACCTTGTTGCTAAGGGATATCTACAGCAAGCTATCATGACACTTTCAGTTCGGTGATGAAGCTGGTGAACGTATGGATTATTCTGTCCATAACAGCTTCAAGGCAGTGGGATCTTAGACATGTCGATATTAATAACATTTTCTTGAATGAAGAACTTGCTGAAGAAGTTTATATGTCAACACTTCTTGATTTTAAAGTGGGATCTCCTGTCCTTACAAAGAAAGTCTCGTTGTGGGGTTATGAATTATGTGGGTTGGGGGTGCGGGGGAGCAGCCCCCGCGGTACGGTACAGGGTTAATTTTGTAATTATGTACCAGGGTTTTCTATTATAAATAGAGATGTAACCTAGACCTAAAACATCATTGAATAAAAACTTCTAGCGCCGCCTAGGCACCGAGGACGTAAGCACATTGCCGAACCTCGTAAAATTCTCGTGTTCTTTTGTTTTCTTTACCCGTTTTCGTCAACAATTGGTATCAGATGTCAGGTGCAAAATTCGAAGTCACGAAATTCGATGGTCAGGGTAACTTCGGATTATGGCAATGAGGGTGAAGGATCTATTGGCGCAGCAAGGATCTTGAAGGCTTTGCGATCTACAAAGCCGGCGTCGATGGATGGAAGATTGAGAAGAATTGCAGCAGCGAGCGGCAGGAACCATACGATTATGCTTGGCGGACGAGGTCATGTATCACGTCATGCATCTATCGTCTCCAGACGAAATTTGGAGGAAGTTGGAAAGTCAGTTTATGTCCAAATCCTTAACGACAAACTGTATCTGAAGCAGCGGCTGTATGGGCTGAAGATGCAGGACGATCACGATTTGGCGCAACACGTGAATGTCTTCAATCAAATCGTTTCTGATCTGGCTCGGCTTGATGTGAAATTGAGGATGAAGACAGAGCGATGATTCTGTTGTGTTCGTTGCCTCCCTCTTACGAACACATGGTGACTACTCTTACATATGGGAAATAGACTATCAATGTTGAGGAGATTACTGCAGCCTTGTTGGCTCACAACCAGCGGAAGCAGAATGCAGGGGAAAGCTCTCAAGCCGATAGCTTATATGTCAAGGGTAATCGAGATCGTGGACGGAAGCCAGAGAAGGCAGGGTCCGGGAAGCGGAATTCCAGATCCAAATCCAGGATAAGAAGACGATTCACTGTTACAAGTGCAAGGAGGGGGACATATGAAGCGAGACTGTCCGAAGTTGAAAAAGCAGACAGATGAGAAGCGTGATGGCTCATCCAAGTCTGTGAACGTGGTCGAGGATGATAATTCTGATTGCAGTGAGGGTGATATGCTTTCTATTTCAACGACACAATTGACGGATGCTTGGATTCTTGATTCTGGATGTTCTTATCACATCACGCCAAATAGGGAATGGTTTTTCGACATACAGGCCGGTTAATTCTGGTTCGGTTTATTTGGGTGATGATCGATGTTGCAATATTGTTGGTATTGGTGATGTCAGAATTAAGATGCACGATGGCTCCGTTCGGACGTTGAGTGGTGTTCGACATATCCCAGACTTGAAGAAGAATTTGATTTCCTTGGGCACTTTGCACAAGAATGGTTTTATCCCTAAGGCTGACGAGGATAGGGAAACCATTCGGATTGTTAAAGGAGCATTGACTGTGATGAAAGGCAAGATGACTGCAGGGAATATCTACAGATTGTTAGGGAGTACCGTTGCAGGTGGAGTTCACTCTGTTGAGTCCTGTGATGATACGACAAAATTGTGGCATATGCGCCTTGCTCATCTTAGTGAATGTGGTATGGCAGAATTACACAAGAAACTTGTTGCATGGTGTCAAAAGCTGTAAGCTCGAATTTTGCAAGTATTGTGTTCTTGGTAAACAGACTAAAGTCCGTTTCAAGACTACGAAGCACACAACTCAAGGGATTCTTGATTATGTGCATTCTGATGTATGGGGGCCTTCCACGACATCGTCTTTGGGTGGATCTAGGTACTATGTTACTTTTATTGATGATTTTTCACAGAAAGTTTGGGTGTATTTTTGAAACAGAAATCTGAAGTTTTTGAGAAGTTCAAGCTGTGGAAAGCTGAGGTAGAAAAC